CAGATGGGTTCAAGGCACAGAAAAGGTGAAGTTTGTCACTTAGTATACTCAACCTTGGACTTCAGTCTCAAGGCTAAATCTCAGGGTTCATTCGGAGGTCTTGGTTTGTTGGAGCCCAGAGTGGGGCTCCAAGTGTAGATATTTCTAGAAGATCTACTGTGATATTGTGATTTATAATAAGAAATACATATTTGGTCTTTGACCCTGTTCCTGGCACAGAGCTCCTAAAATCTTTGTAACCTCCTGAGTGATGAGAATGGTAAAAGGTATCTATTGTTATGTTAGTGAGGTGACTTTTGGAAAGCCCGTAGGTAACAAAGGATGGGGGCTGGTTGCCTATAGAGCCAACCCTGTGATTATAAGTTTGGAAGTTTCAGTCCTCTTGGGAGAGGAGAGGGGCTGGAGGTTGAATTCAATCACCAAAGGCATTGCAGACACCACTGCCCTGGAGCCTCCCATGCCACCAGCCATGGTCAACCACACTGTGCACATTGCCGTGGATAGTGAGCCCTTGGGCTGCATCTCCTTTGAGGTAAGGGACCTGGAAACCAAGAAGTGACTGCTCATCTAATCCATAAAGCTGTTTTAACAGATTGCAGCTCTTTGCAGACAAAGTTCCAAAGACAGCAGAAAACTTTCATGCTCTGAGTACTGGGAAGAAAGGATTTGGTTATAAAGGTTCCTGCTTTCACAGGATTATTCTGGGATTTCTGTGCCAGGGTGGTGACTTCAAACGCCATAATGGCACTGGTGGCAAGTCCATCTATGGGGAGAAATTTGATGATGAGAGTTTCATCATGAAGCATATGGGTCCTGGCATCTTGTCCATGGCAAATGTTGGATCCAACATGAACAGTCACCGGTTTTTCATCTGCACTGCCAACACTTGAGTGGTTGGATGGCAAGCATGTGGTCTTTGCCAAGGTGAACGAGGGCATGAATCTTGTGGAAGCCATGGAGCGCTTTGGGACCAGGAATGGCAAGACCAGCAAGAAGATCACCATTGCTGACTGTGGACAAATCTAATAAATTTGACTTGTGTTTTATCTTAACCTCCAGACCATTCCTTCTGTAGCTCAGGAGAGCACCCCTTCACCTCCATCTGCTCGAAATATCCTATAATCTTTGTGCTCTTGCTGCAGTTCTCTGGGTTCCATATTTTCCTTACTCCAAGTCTAGTTGGATTGCAGAATGAAGTTTATGATTATGAAATAAAAGCTAAACAACAGCACCAACAACAAATCACCAATGTCTGATCATGCTTATGTAATGAAGCCTCCATAAAAACCCTGTGAGAGAGCCTCTGGGTTGATGATCACAGGGAGATTCACAGAGAGCATGGAAGCTCCCTGCTCCTTCCCACACACCTTGCACTATGCATCTCTTCCATCTGGCTGTTCCTGACTTATATCCTTTTATAATAAACCAATAATCTAAACTTTAGTTTATTTATTTATCTATCTACACCCAGTGTGGGGCTCCAACTCATGACCCCAAGATCAAGAGTCACATGATCTTCTGACTGAGCCAGCCAGGTGTCCCTAAACTGATGATCTAGTAAGTAAAATGTTTCTCTGAGTTCTGTGAGCCACTCTAGCAAATTAATTGAACCAGAGGAGGGGGTTGTTGTGCCCATCCATATGTAGCTCTTTGGTCAGAAGGGCAGGTGACAACCTGCACTTGTGTTTGGCATGTGATGTGTGTGTGTGTGTGGAGGGGGGCAGTTTTGTAAGACTGAACCTTTAACCTGTGGGATCAGAGGCTATCTCCAGGTAGGCAGTATCAGAAGTGAGTTGAATTGGAGGACACACAGCTGATGTCAGAGAATTACTTGGTGGTGTGGGAAAAACCTCCACAACACACTGGAACTGGTGACCAGCATCTTACCTACTCTCTCCATATACATTTGAGGCCTTAGACCCTGGAAACTCATGCAGAGGTGATTAATCTCAATATCTTTGGGCTTCTTTGAACTCAGTTTAAGTTGCTGAGTCTGTTGGAATGAGTCTCAATAGTTCTGTAGGAGTTCATGGCTCCTGAAGTTATCAGCCTGGGAACGCTCATGGTTATCATTACACACCATGTTGTTTTCTGCCTCTGTGTCTTTGTATATACATTGTTTCCTCAGCATGAAAGTCTCTTTCTCTCTCTCTCTCTTTTTTAGTAACACATCCCACCACCTGGCAAAATTCCACTCAAACTTCTAAGAATCAGCTCAAGCATCATCTCTGAGAGTCTGCCACAAGCCCCGAGGCTGGGTCAGGGGCCCCCTCTGCTGGACTCTCATGAGCCCCCTGTGCTCCCTTCTCCTCACGTTGCACAGAGATGGATTTATTATAGAACTAGTAAAGCTTAAGCCTCAGCACCCCATACTTACACAGGCCACTTCCGAGTCCCTGATTATTGAGCACTGTCAATTGGAAGAGCATTTAAGATTTGTCACTGCACAAGAACAGTTAAAATACTCTGAAATTTTACAGCTCACATGTAAAGAAACTAGATAGAGATTCCCCCAAATTTAACAACAACCTTAAAATTTACCTTACTAATAACAAATTGTGAAGTCAAAACTTTTCTAACCTACCAATAAAAATTTTTATCAACTGAATGACATTGAATTCAATTGAATTCTTTGTATTCTCTCTAGCAAATGTTATTATAAAACAATTGTCCTATTCATTTAGAAGAGGGTATCAAGGAGCTTGCAACCAAAGCAAAAATTAGTGGAGATGGGGCGCCTGGGTGGCTCAGTTGGTTAAGCAGCTGCCTTCAGCTCAGGTCATGGTCCCAGGGTCCTGGGATGGAGCCCCACAGGGGTCCTTGCTCACGGGGGAGCCTGCTTCTCCCTCTCCCTCTGCTGCTCTCCCTGCTTGTGCTCTCTCTCTGTCAAATAAATAAATAAGATATTTAAAAAAAATTAGTGGAGAGGCAAGTCAAAAAATTGATAAAAATATTTTATTTGGGGGGGTTTGAGAATGTTTATGGTATTTGTCAGTTTTTTAAAATTTTTGTAATTTGTAACATTTGTGATTTCTTTTATAAAAATAAAGCAATACTTTCATACCTAATTTGTACTATTTCTCTTAAACACAGTTTGCAAAATTCTATCTGCTTCAAGCCCTTTAACACCTAGATTCACCCAGAGCACTGATCATTCTCTAGGGTCCTTGGCCAGTCTTGCATGACAGACTGTAAACTCCTTAGGCATTTGATCAAACCCCATGCGTAACCCAGCAGCATTCAGCACAGGCCCAGGCACAGAAGTTTCAGTACTGTTTGTTAACATGGTCTAGTCCAAATTTTGCAATCCTTGCTGTGAGAGGAAAGCACCTACGCTATTTTTCTAAGAACAGCTTTACTGAGATATTATTTATATGTCATAAATTTCACCCATGTAAAGTGTAAAATTCAGTGGTTTTTAGTATATTTACAGTGTTGTGCAACTGTATTCGTTTGCTAGGGCTGCCATAACAAAGTACCACAGACTGGTGGCTTTAACAACAAAAATTTATTTTCTCGAACTTCTCAAGCTTTGAGACCAAGGTGTCAGCAGGTTTGATTTCTTCTGAGGCCTTTCTCTTTGGTTTGCAGATGTCTACCTTCAGTGTTTACAGAGTCATTTCTCTGTGTATCTTGTGTCTCTCTCTATGCCCTATCTCCTTTTCTTATGAGGACACCAATCATATTGGATTAGCATGTACCTCTAAGGCCTCATTTTACCTTATTTACCTCTTTAGAGGCTCTGTCTCCAAATACAGTCACATTCTCAGGTATTGGGGGTTAGCTCTTCAACATATGAATGGAGGGGATGACACACAACTCAGCCCCCAACAGCAACCATCACACATCTAATTTTAGAACATCTTCATCTCCCCCCAGAGAAACCCCATTTCTCCCCCTCCCCAAGACCTGGGCAACCCATTAACCTATTCTCTATCTCTGTAGATTTGCCTATTCTGTACATTTCATATTAAATGGTATCATACAATATGTAGTCTTTTTTGGCTAGCTCGTAGTGATGCCACCTCTTTCATTCCTGATTTCAGTAATTTGAGTCTTCTCTCTTTTTTATTTAGCCAACCTAGCTAAAAATTTGTCAATTTTGTTGATCTTTTCAAATAACCAACTTTTGTTTCACTGATTTTCTCTATAGCTTTTGTTTTCTGTTCCATGTATTTTCTGTCCAATCTTTATTATTTCCTTCCTTCTGCTTGCTTTGGGATTACTTTGTTCTTCTTTTTCCAGTTTCCTAAGGTGAAAAGTTAGGTTATTGAGATCTTTCTTCTTTTTTAATATGGGTGTTTATAGCTATAAAATTCACTTTAAGCATTGTTTTAGTTGCATTTCATAAATTTTGGTGTGCTGTGCTTTCGTTTTCATTCCTTTCAATTTGTTTTCCAGTTTCCCTCATGATTTTTTCTTTGACCCATTTGTTATTTAGAAGTGTGTTAATTTCCACATATTTGTGAATTTCACAAATTTCTTTGTTATTGATTTCTAATTTCACTCCATTGTGGTGGGAGAACACACTTTGTATGATTTCAATCCCTTTAAAGTCTATTGAGGCCTGCTTTATGACTTAGCCTATGGTCTGTCGTGGAGAACGTTCCAGGTGCACTTCAGAAAAATGTATATTCTGTTGTTGCTGTTGGGTGCAGTGTCCTATGGGTGTTAGGATGCTTTTTTTTAAAATGCGGATTTTAAGGCGATGCTCCCTGAGGTTGATTCCTCTGTTCCAAGGTCTGGAATCCGTATCTTTATTAAGTTCCCACATTCTTCAAGAACCCATGGCCCCGCGCGACCTCCACTCCTGGCTTCCTTTGGTTTATTACATAGGCGTAACCGAGGTGATGTCATCCATTGCTCTGACAGACCTTTCTATTGCTCTAGTCTTGCTGCCAGGTCCGCGGAAAGGCACATCGGCGTTCTCAGGTTCGGCTTTCGGCTCCTTCGGCCTGGGCCGTGCTGCGTAGCGATTGGGCCTCCTGGGCATCACGTGGTCTGAGGCCGGATGATGGCAGGAGCTGGGGAAGATTCGCGGGCGCTCTTCGGGGCTGGCGTCCGCGCGGCGCTGGAAGCCTGGCCGGCCTTGCAAGTGAGTGGGGCCACGGCTAGGATAAAGGTTAGGGTCTGGGGCAGAACAGGAGTTGGCTGGACTTCGCGCCTGAGGCTCCACCGGGCCGCATAAACAGCCAACCCTACACCTCCCCAGGCCGGCTTCCAGGCTGACGTGGTGGGCTCGGGCCTATGTTCGCAGATCGCTGTGGAGAATGGCTTCGGGGGCGTGCACAGCCAGGAGAAGGCCGAGTGGCTGGGGCGTGCAGTAGAGGAGTACTTCTTCCGCAATGGTGAGTGAATGTGAGGCGCTGCGACCTGTCTGTGGGGGCGTGGGGAGGAGGAGGCGGGTCCTAGGGAGCACGCACTTCCTCTTGAACAGTTGTGGGATGGTACCTAACTAAGGTCGAAGTAGAATGAATACAGGCTTTGGGAGTCAGAATCTTGAGTTCTGATGCCTTACAGGCTGTGCCATTGACCCGCGGTATCACTCTGGACAAGTTATTTTACCTGAGACTCCGTTTCCTAATTCCTGAAATGGATATTAAAGTACCCATCTCAGCACTGTCCAATAAAAATACAGTGCGAATCACATCATGTCATTTAAAATTTTCTAGCAGCCGCTTCAACAAAGTAAAAAGAAGCAGATGAAATTGTTACTGAACTCAGTATATCTAAAGTATTTCAGCAGGTATTCAGTATAAAAGATTACTAATGAGATATTTTACATCCCTTTTTAGTATTAAGTTTTCAAAATCTGGTGGGTATTTTACAATTTTAGCACGTTTGCCGTGTGCCTAGCCACATTTTGAGTGCTCAGTAACCACATTTGGTTATTTGGACAGCAAAGATCTACACCTTTGATGTGTCTTGAAGGTCGTGTAAGAATAGGGGACCCTGTAGAGGGTCTTTTGCATATTAAGATTTTTACAAAATTCTTTATTCAGGTATTTAGTCTTGTAGATGACATTAGGCAGAGTTCTGTCAAGGAAGTTTACCATCTAGTGGTGGATCCACTTAAGTAAGTAGGCCTTTACACTCGGGGTGATAGATGTTCTAATAAGGAGGAGCTCAGGGTGCTTGGGTAGCCTGAGACTGAGGAGGCTTCTTTTGGAGATTGTTCAGGGAGGTAGTGATTGGATTGAGTCTTAAGGGAAGAAAAGGAGTTAACTAGGTGGGGGAGACAGAGAGCAACACACAAATAAGTTCTGTGGTATGAGAAGATGATGTGTTATATTTGGAAAGTGGCAGGGAGCTCAGTATTGGAGTAAGGGTGTGGGTGCGCTTGTGGGTATAAGGAGGGTAGGAGTGGTTGAGAATGAAGCTGGGGGGGTGGGGAGGCCCCAGGAAGAGGTTAAGACGTGGAAGACCTTACATGCCTTTGGTTTTGTCTGTTAGGCCAGCATTTGCCAAAATGTAGGCTGTGGAAGACTAGTTCTGTGAAGAAAAAGCTTCTCCAGTCAAATTATGTAAGAACTTTTTTTCAGCTCCTCCTTAGGAGTCATAATAATCATGAACATAATAAAAGCTTGGATAAAGATAAGAACCACAAAAAAGAAGCCTCTTTTCCTTTGTTTCACATTAGCTTTCTATGGATAGCTTCCTTTAAAAACGAGCAGGACAGCTATTTCTGAAAAGCAGGATATGAAACACTGCTGTAGGTGATAAAAATTCATGGGCCCTTTCTAAGGTGAGTAATGGGATGGGATTTGTTGACTAGAAAGTTCAGAAAATAATCCGTATGGAGGGTGGACTGGAGAGGGAAAGACTGATGAGAAGGTTATTTCTGTCTAGAAAATAATGAGGCCCAAACTAGGGCAGTGGCAGTAGCAATGGATTAGGGCCTTGGAGATTGTTCGGCTGTGAAGAGGGAGGGAAAAGGAGGCAGGTTTCTGGTTTGAGTCGCTGGGTGGATTAGGTGCCTTTCATGGAATAGAGGAACCCTGGAGGACGAGAAGTAGGTTTGAAGGGTAAGGTGATGAGTTTGGCTTTGGATATGGAGGGCCTGAGGCATCTGTGAAACAGGTAGAGTGTAGTCTGGGTTGGAGACAGCTTTGGGGGATATTAGATGAGAGTGGTAAGGAAAGTCAAGGGAGTGAATTGAGCTCTCCCAGAGGGAAGGGCGAGTGAGGAGCTTTGTGGAAGACTCTCTTGAGTAATTCTCTAATTCAGAAAAAGTAGAGCATGGGCCCAGAAGGTAACTGAAGCCTAGAGGGGAGGGATTAGCCAAAATCACACAGTAGGATGTTGATGGCAAGGCTGTGATGATTTCATCATTGGAAGTACGTAACATCCATTTTTTCTTACCTGTCCCGTTCAGTGGAGCCACAGTTGTGAAGGGTTTCTACATTTCAGAAACTTCAGCCCTTGAGTGATGGAGATTAACATGGATTATGGGTCTCTCCTATGTTAGGCATTATTTAGGGGACTCCTCATAACAGACCTCCAAGAAGGCCACTATTAGCCCCACTTTGTAGATGAGAAAACAGGCACAGAGATAAGTAACTTGCTCAAGGTCACAGAGAGGAGGCCAGTTAAAATAGGTCAGATGAAAGAGGGTGAGTGTGGTTGGGATGCTGTGGGAATAAGAGGGTTTGGTAGGACGCAGGAGATTGGAAATTAGGTATTTATATTTAGTGTTTGTTTGGTGGGTTTTTAAAAATCACGTAAAAACCTGGAGTACAGAGCACTACAGTGAATAAGGCTCGCTGTTTGGGCCTTTACCCACCAATCACATGTGGACTCACCAAGTAGGTATTGAATAGTAGTGGGCCAGAGTGATTCAGTTGGCTGGTCTTTGCTTTCCTACTCAGCTGACTTGGAGCTAGATGAGGTGGAGGATTTCCTCGGGGAGCTCATGACGAACGAATTTGATACAGTTGTGGAGGATGGGAGTCTGCCCCAGGTGAGCATATCGTGGACATAACTGCCATTTCCCTGCCCGCAGTCTTTCCTCTCCCTGTCTGTTTTTAGGCCAAGACTCTTGGGTCTAACCATTCTTTTCTTGAGTCCTGCACAAGAACCTTCTGTGACTCCCTTTTGCCTAAAGGGAAAAGTCTCGTCTTCCCAGGTCTTTCCAAACTCTGCCTCTTCTCCTTTATTTCTCTCCATACAACATTCTCAGCCGGGTCCGTTCTTCACCCCCATCCCAAGGACAGGTCAGGCCAGGTACATTTCCACCCCTCTTCTGGTTAACATTTCTCCCCATCAATTCCTGCTGGGATTGCCTTCTCTTTTACCTCTTCTGTCTTTCAAACTGAGTTCTAGTGCCTTCCTTGCTAGGAAGCTCTCCTTCTGTACTTTAGGCTCTTACCTGAGTCTTTCATACATGGTTCCTTCATTAGTGAACTCCTTGGGGAAGAAAAAGCCCCATTCTCTTCTGGAAAATCCCAAACCCCTCCCTACTCTTGCTGCAAACACGTGCTGGTTGTATTGTAGGTTCTCTAGAAAATCTCTAGAAAATCTAGAAAATCTCTAGAAAATCTAGAAAATCTCTCTAGAAAATCTAGAAAATCCTGGTTGAATGTTTTCTTGGTAGGTGAGCCAGCAGCTACAGACCATGTTCTACCACTTCCAGAGGGGTGATGGGGCTGCTCTGAAGGAGATGGCCTCTCACATCACCCAAAGAAAGTGCAGGGTCAGAGCCACTGCAGTTACAACAGCCAGAGAAACGGATGAAGATGATGCGGACAGCGTGGAGGAGATGGAGGTGAAAGGGGTGCCCCTTGGGTGGGGAGATGCAGATACCTTCAATTTTCTAGGAAATCAGCTAGTTTCATAGGGAAATGATGGGGGGGGTTATATTATCCAGAGAGGGCAAGGAACTTTCCTAAGGTCACACAGCCAGTCCTGGCAAAGCTGGGAAGAGAGCCTGGGTCTCCAGTGGCCACAGCCAGCAGGTGTTGTATTTAGCTCTCTCCTGTATTTCTCCTCCAGGTCACAGCTACGAATGATGGGGCAGCTACAGATGGGGTTTGCCCCCAGCCTGAATCCACTGGTCCAGACTCCCAGACTATTAAAGAAGAGGATATAGTGGAGGATGGCTGGACCATTGTCCGGAGAAAGAAATGAGTGGGGCTGGAAATGGTTTGGGCCCTTGCTTGCTAGTTGTTTTGAGACTTGTCTGTAGGGGTTTGGGGGAGGGTTGTGGACTCCTGGACTGGTTGCCCCATCTCCACCCTCTTCCTGTTCCCCTGTCCAGTTTCCTCCAGGGGAAGAAGAGCGCTAGGGTCCTTGCTCTCTAGGTAGTGTGGCCTGGTTCACCACAGCCCCTTGGGCCTTAAGTTACTATCTGCACGATGAGGCCTGGTTTCCCAGCACATTGCCTCTCAGATGCGGTCAGTGTGAAGAGGGAGGGATGAGCGGGTGAGGGCGTGACTGGAGAAGCTAAACACTGGTTGACAGTGACCAGGTGGATCTGTGAAGGGAGAGGACCAGCAGGAGAACCAATAGCCCTGCTGGGTCAGGAATGGTGAGATGAACTTGCAAACCAGAAGCGAGATGAGTCGAAGATGTGAACGAAGATAGCTGTGGTACCTCTCCTTCTCCCCCCGCCCATACACGCACAGAGCAGCTCTGTACCCCTGGCCAGAAATTGGAACCTCCCAGGAACACTCCCTTTCTGCAGCTTAGCCTCCAGTCCTGGGTTCCTTCAGGAAGTCTAAGACTTTGGCTAGGTGGTGAGCTTGGGGGACCTGGGCTTTGTTTTCTGGCTCCTCCAACCTCTTTCTGTACACTTATCCAAATCCTGGGATGAGGCTTAAAACCTCAATGAATAGTACCTTATTGTTTAATCTGTGACTTGACCCATGGAGAGCCTTGGAATCAGCCTTTTAGGAGCCGGGCTTCAGAGCTCCGTAGGGGAGCAGTTTCTGGGCCCATCCTAGCAGCCTGTTACTTTGAACAAACAAACAGATGGACAAATGGAACACAGCAGCACTCTGAAAGTTTCCATAAGCCCGAAATAAACTGTATTTTTCTTTAAAAAAACAAAACAAAACAAAGAGTATCCATTGTCCTCCCCACCCATTCCCCTGTCCTGCCCTGTGGCCCTGCCATGGGTCTGGACGATAAAATACTGGGTAGTCTTGGGGCCGGGTGGAAGCTGTAAGCCATGGGAGAGGCAGGAGGGGTCTGCTCCCCGCCCCATGTAACACGTGTAAAGACACCGGCTGAGGGGGCAGGGCTGGGCCAGGGCCGTAGGGTCAGTGGCAGAGCTGGCACTTGAATCCAGATCTCCTGCCTCCAGTGCTTTGGGGGGAATTGGGTGGAGGCAGGATCTGTAGGGTGTTGAGGGGATGGGGGACAAAATGGCCTAATTCGGGGGGGGGGGTCTAGCAACAGCTCCCACCCTTCCTGGGGACAGGGATTTTAAAAAAATTAACATCACTGTAGGAATTTTTTTTAAAGCCCATGTTTTGTGAAAAGATGAATTAAAAAAACCCAAGACCCAGCACTGGGGATTGAAAGTGCCCATGATGGGAGTTCAAGTATTGACTGAGCTGGGAGGGAGGGGGCTGGGGCCCCCCAACTGGACATGGGCAGCTAGGGTGTGGGGCAGGGGGCCCCAGTTCCTCCCAAACCCTCTAGGTCTTGTCTCGGGTCTGGGGGGCTTCGGAGGGTTCAGCAGTGGCTCCTGAAGCTGCCACCGGTGCCTCCTCCATCTCCCTGTCCTCCGACAGTGTGGGCCCTGGGCAGAACATGTCCCCACGGCCTGCCCGACCGAGCACTGCCATCCAGCGCCGCTGCAGCTCCTCCGTCTCGGGGCTGAAGTACCAGCTCAGGTGGCTCTGGGTGATCTTGAAGACGTGCCTTCTGTCAGGCCGCTCCCCTGCCTCAGGAGGTCCCACCTCAAAGCCAATGAGGGGCAAGCTGCGCTGGGCTTTCACATCCTAGGGAACAGGACAGAGCTGGGGTCACCTTGAGTCTGGGCTTCTCACTAGTTTTGCATCTGCTGAACCCTTCTTTTCCTTCCCCTGCTCAGGAACCTTCCGTGGCTCCACTGATAGCAATAGAAAAATGTCAACTGAGGCAACTAGCATGCAGGCTAGTTCAAATACCTGTTTCCTCCCACAACCAAAACCAGTTGGGCTAGTCTCTTTAGCACATACCAAATAATGTTTGCAGGCCTTTGTCTCGGCTCTTGCCTCCACTTACATGTTCTTCCCCGCTCCAATTGGACCTAGCAGTGCCTAACCTCCACTCTGGCTTCCTCCAGGAAACTAGCTCCGCCAGCTCACCCCACTTTTCCCTACACATGTTGGCCCACAGTCACTCCTTGTCTCTACTTGGTCTTTGTCTCACAAGGGTAGGGGTTCTGATTTCCTCTTAGCCTTACCCAATCCCCCAAGGCCAAGGAGAGGTCAAGGACCGAAGGGGAGGAGGAACAGCCTGGTTTTGCCAGGTGGCGGGAAGGACCCGAAGGAATAGGATGCACACCTGAGGGGCTCCGTAGATGTACAGCACCAAGGGTTCGTTCTCAGGCACCACGAACCATGCCTTATGCCAGCCTTTGCCACCTTTCTCCATGTAGTGTAGGAAGCTGCAGATGACGCTGTTCTCCGCAGCCACTGAGGCCTGTTTCTGTGGCCAGAGACATGGGGGACATCAGTGTCAATAGAAGGCCTGGCTTGGCTCCTCTTGGCTTTGACACCCCCTCAGCATAGGGATTGATGAAGCTGACGCTCAGATGGCAGGAGGGATTTGTCCAGTGCCCCTCGCCCTCCCTCCCCCCACAGTGAGTTAGACTGGAGACCAAAAGCCAGGCTTGTCTGCTGAACTGCCATGGCTGCTGCCTCCGAAGAGTTGGTGGGAGGGGTGTCTCAGCAGGGGCACCTGGCTGCTGCGCAGGCATTCTTCCATCAGTCACGCATTCCTCAAGTCACTTAGGCCTTTACACCTCCCCTGTTCGTCCTCTTCCATCATACACTTGTGCCTTACATTTAGCAAGAGGCAACCTAGCATCGTGGTGAAGAGGACTGGGAAGCTGGGTAAGGCAGTCTGGCTCAGAATCCCAGCTCGAGATGAGAATGTACTGACTTGGAGAACATACAGGTCCGTTGTAAGGATTAAATGAGTTAATGTATGCAAAATGCTCTGAATAGTGCCTGGCACAGAGTAAGCATTCTTTTTTAAAAAAAGATTTATTTATTTGAGAGAGCGAGAGCGAGTGCGCGTGCACGCGAGTGGGAGTTAGGGGGCAGAGGGAGAGGGAGAGGGAGAGAAGCTTCAAGCAAACTCCCCGCCGAGTGAGGAACTCACCACAGGGCTCAATCTCAGGACCCTGAGATCGTGACCTGAGCTGAAATCAAGAGCCAACCGCTTAACTGACTGAGCCACCCAGGCGCCCCCAGAGCAAGCATTCTTTGAGTGTTAAATAAAATAAATACCTCAATTTGGTTAAAAAACAAAACCAAAAATGTGTGTACATGCTATAGCACAGCTATTAATAGTAGTGATCTAGTGGGTAGAAGCAATATGGTGTTTTATTATTTCTGTTTATATTGTCTAATTTTCTTCAGTGCACATATCCTACTTTGTAGTAAGAAAAGATAATTTGTTAATTGAGAAAACATCCTAGCTCTGCCATTCGCTGGCTGTGTAATTTGGGCAAATAACTCCCTGGGCCTCAGTTTCCTCATTTGTAACCCAGGGATAGTAATAGCATGGATAGTTTAGTTACTGTGAGGATTAAACGTCTAAAGCACTTAATAAAAATCGGTCTTTCATTGACTCTTGCACTCATTTTACTCACTCCGAGCCTGGGTCACTTGCTCAGTGGATGCACATGGCACCCTAGCATTTCAGAGATGCCCAGGCGTCAGTCACACCGGCTGGGTGGCTGGGGCCCCTGTGGTCAGCGTGGGAGCGTTAGTCGGGGACCTGGCTCTTACCTCCAGGATAGACCTCCGGCGCTGGGGTGTATGCTGGCTGCAGGCCGGGCTGCTCCCGGGCACCCCATGCAAGGCCACGTAGCAGTCCGTGCACACACGGTTGGAGCGGTTGTTGTCATAGATGAGGCGGGCCCGGAACTCGGAGCACTTCCCACAAACCACCTGGGGTGGCAAGTGGGCAAAAACAGCCTGGTTCCTGCAGGTCTTTCCCTTCAGTGGACCAACTCCCACAGTGGCCTCGTGGCCTCCCGCGCTTGGAGGGTAACCCGCTGAGAAGTGGGCCTCTGGGCTGCCAGCCTGTCCCCTCCCTAGCTCTGCCCCTGCCTGCCAAAACTCACATGCCCGCAGGCCTTGCAGTGGTGCCTGCGTTTGGTGATGGAATTGAAGGGCTCCTGGCAGCGCATGCACATGGTGACTTCCTTTTCTCGGATGGGTGTAGGTGCCCGCTTCCCAAGATCCACGTTCTGGAGAGAGGGCCAGGTCCCAGGTCAGAGATAGCTACTCCCCAGCCCAGTGCAGCCAGCCCCTGCCCTCTGCCCCAAGGCTTGGATCATCATTGGGAGGCAGCACATACGTTCAGAAGACCTGCCTTTGAGTCCTTGCACTGTCCCTACCTCACTGTCATTTTTACTTCCTGGGCCTCAGTTTCCCCCGTGATTTCTCTGCGGCCATACCAAAAGAAGACTGTGCTTCCGAGGTCATGCACTGCCTCTCTGGTCTTTACTCTCTGGGAAGGGGCAAGGATCATTTCAAAGTAAAGTGGGGACTTGGAAACCTGGAAGGGGTCCCAGGGCAGGGGGAGAGGGTGGGGACTCTTACTGGAGAGTTAGGGGGTGTGTCTTCATCTTCCCTGTTTGTTGAGTTCAAGAGTTTGAAGGTCTCCAGCGTCTGTTCATGCTTCAGGAGAGTGGAGTTGATGGCCTATAAAGGAGGTTGTAAGAAATAAGAGGTCAGATCACCTCACAAGGCACCCACTTCCACCCTCACCTCACCTTCTTGTGACTTAGCCTGGAGTCAGAAAAGTTGGCTTCTAGGCCAAACTCTGCCCCTTGCTAGGCATACGATCTTGAGCAAGCCCAATCCCAAATCCAGTTCTCAGTTCTTAAATTTGTGAAATGGTGGAGGGGATCAGTGGTTGAAAAAACTCAGGTCTTCCTGGCCACTCTCTGGGCTTAAGGTTTTACAGGATTTAACTCACTGGGGTTACACCCTCAGCGGAGCCAGCTTTTTAAGGGGAGAATTTGTGAGTTTCTGTTTAACTCCTGGACCTCGGCTTGCTTCTCTGTAAAACGGGGATGGTAAAGTTTGTTGGAAAGCAGGTGTCCAGGCCCATTCTGGTCTGATATGAGTTTTAGGGGAGAGTCCACCAACCCCAAGGAGACCTGTTAATACTCCTCCAGCCCCCTACCACAAAGCCTTCTTGGATGTTACCTGGACCCAGTCTTTCTTCTCCTCCTCAGTCCTTGGGGAAGGGGGGGGGCGGAAAGAAAAATG